AACTTTTATAACGGTTCCACTCATTTTGAGTAAGCACCGAAGCGGTCCCAGCCCTACTCACTTCTTTTTAATCCGTAAATAGGACTCATTTAGTGTGGTCAGACTTATTTACCCCGCTCATATCTCTTCTTCCTATCACGATAGTCCTCCTCTTCTCGACAACCTTTTTCTACGCCAATCTATCTTCCTCCTCCCAACGAAGCAGAGGAGTGAAGCGGAAAAAATAGAATAGGAGGGCTGTGGCGCTGCAGCTTTGAAAATTAAGAACGCAGATTATTAACTGAGTAGCACTAAAGAGAAGACCCCCTGTCGTCGGTCATCACAACGGAGTAGGTACGGTGGCGTGGTAATCTGTAATCAATCCTTCTATCCAGGGCCGTCTAATGAATTTGGAGGTCCGTGTTCAAAATACAAATTTGAGGCCCCACGTTAATATAAAAAGCTACAAAATATACTCGATGTAAATTCTTATTATACTCAAATCAATTGAATACTCATTAAATAATGTAATTAAAGAATTACATGTTGTAACTTTCCTTTCAAATAATTAATTTCAACATTTTTTTGTAAATGATTTTAATTTATGAGGGCATTATTATATGGAGGCTGCAGCCCATATTCATATACGATAGTATACACTATTACATTATATAATTAGTTAATATTAATGATCTAAAAATACTGCTACTAGCTTCATATAAATATTGGGGCCCCATGCAAAGTGAGGCCCTGTTCCGTCGAACCTAATGAACATGCTAAAAAACGGCCTTGCTTCTATCAGTTCGGTGCATCTGGGATTGATCGGAGCTACTCAATTTATTTTCCTACTTTCCTTGTGCACCTTTCTTCGTGGATCTGCAATCGATCCTACCTGTGTCCTTACTTTCTTTTGATATTTCTATTCTCTTCATGCCACAACCGTTTTCTTTGTTTTTACTTTCCCTAGTTTTGCATTTGATTTGTATTTGATTAACACCATCAAATTTGGAATAGACAATACAATAGTTGTACGATAGTACTTGTATTTCATTTACAAAATTTACTCACACTTGGTGTAGAGAATAGTTATTCCATTTTAATGTATGTATGAATCAGTGAGTTTTTTTGCACTAGTACTATTTGATGAAATGCCTACATGAAAATTGTCCCTGTTTTGCATTTTTTAGTTGAGAAGAGTTTTGGGCAATTTACTTAAATTACATGCGCAGATGGGCTGATTATGTATATACTCAATTAATCATGTGATTTTATAGTAACGTTGACATATTTTCTACGGAGTACCTTTTAATTATGACAATGTCATGACATTGTTAACAATGTCATATAGTGACATTATTAACATTTTTAGAATTATTTCTTTTTAACAATGTTTACAATAATGTCACATTGGCATTGTTTTTCACAATGTCATTTTTCTAACATTGGCATTGTCACGATATTTTCATTGACATTGCCACGACAATGTCATTTTCATTGTTGTCATTATAATGTCATTTTTATAACATTGACATCATCATTATACGGAGTTGTGACATTTTTTTGACATTGTGATGCTTTCATACATTTTGACAATATTTGCAAAATTGAGAAATTGTTTATTTTGTTAATGTTTAAGTGGTAATGTTTGAAATTGTATGATTTTTCTTGGCATTGTGATTTTTTAGCATTTTGATATTTTTAGGGACAAGGGTCAGATAGGGCCTCGAACTTGGAAAAAATGTCAAATAAGGCCATATTTAGGATGCTATGTCCGGCTGACGCCATTTGGGACGGTTCCCGGTAGAATTTTTTGATGAATTTTTTTGAGAATCTTATTCATTAAGTCTAGTTTACTCATATCAAATTTGAACCAACAATTCAATCGGAAAGGCATTCAAATGAATTCTTGAAGATAACTGCGCTTTTAACTGCACAGTTATCTTCAATAATTCATTTGAATGCCTTCCCGATTGAAGTTTTAGTTCAAATTTGATATGAGTAAACTAGACTTAATGAATAAGATTCTCAAAAAAATTCATCACAAAATTCCACCGGGAACTGACCCAAATGGCGTCGGCCGGACAGAGCATCCTAAATATGGCCTTATTTGACATTTTTTTCAAGTTCGAGGCCCTATCTGACCCTTATCCCATATTTTTATGACATTGTAACATTCTTTCTTTCTTTTTTACAATACATACGATATTGTGTCATTGACGTTGTTTTTAATACTTTTATTTTTATAGCATTAACACTATGACAATATTATTTTGATTGTTGTCGATATTACAATTGTCATTGTCATGACTATAATGTCACTTTATATAACATTAACATAACCATTATTCGATATTATAACATTTTACGATATTTCAACATTTTTAGTTCATTTTTAAAATGTGTATAATATTGTCACGATATTATCATTGGTATTGACATTGTCAATGTTGCAATGTCATGTTTATAACATTGACATTAATTTTCAGATCATCATTATTTGACAATGTGACATGTTTATATATGCCCCCATTCCATTTTTTCTACAATTTAATATATGGAGTGATATTTATAATATAGTGATATTGTTTCGAAAATGATTGATATCTAACATTTTAAAATTTATTTTTATAACGATAATGTTTTACATTGTGACATATTTGATGACATTGTAAAGTTTTTTGACATTGTATTTTTTGTTTCGATAACAATATTCATTTTTTGACAATGAGATTATACTAAGTTGTCATAATCTATACTTCGTATTTGTTTCTGATGCATAAAAAAAATTATAATCTATATGGTAAAAGAGTGAAATTTATAATTTACGGAGTATAATAAAAAGAGATGGGAAAAAATGTAGAGAACGGAATGTCAAAACAACCAAAACAAAAGAGTAAAATAACAAAGAGTAAAATTGAAGAAGAAAGCAAAAAAATGTCACAAATAGAACTATGCATTGGCAGCTTCACGACAAAGGAGAGCAACGACATTTCTCCAGCAGACTAGCAGTTCACCAGAGGAGTAGCTTTTGCTGACATATGCGTCAATAGTGCCTTAGCTTGAAGAGTTATCCAGCGTTTTAGCAGGGTGCGGTGGCCGGTGATGGACGGCGGTCACCAGCTCCCGACGGCGGATGGCAGCTCCAAGCAGCGGTTGCGGCAGCTCCCAGCGGCGGTCTCCAGCTCCCGATGGCGGATGGCGGCTCCAGGCAGCTGTTGCGTGCGGCAGCTCCCAGCGGTGGTCGCCAGCTCCCGATGGCGGATGGCAGCTCCAGGCAGCGGTTGAGGCAGCTCCCAGCGGTGGTGGCAGATGGATGGATCGATTAATGCATTTGCTAATTGCGGAGTACACCTTCTCCTCTTCTCTTGTAGTGAATCGGGCGCAGGGAGTCGGGGACTCACCTTTTGTACGGAGCTGGAGAGAGAGCTTGTTGCCTAAGCCCACGAAGACTACTCCGTATGAATGCAGGGGTAATTTTGTCCCTTTTGATAAACTTTAGTCCTATTTAGGTTTATAAAAGCAATGGGATAAGGGTCAGATAGGGCCTCGAACTCGAAAAAAAATGTCAAATAAGGTCATATTTCGGATGCTCTGTCTGGCCGACGCCATTTGGGGCGGTTCCCGATGGAATTTTTTGATGAAATTTTTTGACCATCTTCCTCATTAAGTCTAGTTTACCCATACCAAATTTCAGCTAAAAACTCAACCGGGAAGGTAGTCAAATGAATTTTTGAAGATAACTGTGAAGTTAAACAACGCCGTACATTTCGGAAAATTATTTGACTACCTTCCTGGTTGAGTTTTTAGCTGAAATTTGGTATGGGTAAACTAGACTTAATGAGGAAGATGGTCAAAAAATTTCATCAAAAAATTCCATCGGGAACCGCCCCAAATGGCGTCGGCCAGACAGAGCATCCGAAATATGACCTTATTTGACATTTTTTTTCGAGTTCGAGGCCCTATCTGACCCTTATCCCAAAAGCAATCGATCCTATTTAGGTGCAAAGGCCATGTTTTAGTCCTATTGGAGACTTTCTCCCATGAATAGTAGGTACGGTACCCCATTTTTTAGAAAGGTACCGGAGTTGTCACCTATTTTAAATATTATGGAGTAGGAATCACTGATGTGGGGGGGGGGGGGGGGTCATCAAAATATTTTTATTTATTGCTATTTCGTTGATCTTTGCATGATACTCAATCAATTTGTTGTTTTCGAACATTTAAATTATATTATATTTACGTAGTTTAGCATAAACAAAATCTATACATACATTAATTATAAGAGTTCATCTAATATTGTAATTAGAAAAAATTGTCAATTTGATCCTTGTACTTTCACGAAAAAGTTAATTAGATCATTGTAATTAAAAAAAGCAATCAAATCTCCAAACTTTGTAAAGACGTTCAATTGAGAACATTTAATTTGTAGGTTGCTTGACATGTCAACAAGTCATTCGCTGAGGTGGCGCACACATGGCAGTCCACATGTGTGCCACATCATCAACAAATAGCTGCCTGGACTCCCCCACATGTGCGCAACGTCAACAAAGTTACTGCTGATTGGGCTACCACATATGTGTCATGTTAGCGAATGATTTGCTGACATGACAAATGATTTGCAAATGGACCCAATTAAACATTTTTACAAAGTTCGAGAATTTGAACATGTGTGCCACGTTAGCGGGTGATTGTTTTTTAAAGTACGAGAACCAAAATAACTTTTTCGTTTTACTATAGTAATATTTTCTCATTTCAAGTATGGCATTTCCTTGAAGAGAAAACAATTTATTTGGTTTCCAAGAATTTGCGTTTTCAATTTCGTGTGTAGATATTTCAAGGGATCAAAATGGACCCATATGGAGCTAGCACTATCCACGTATGGTATACAAAAAGGAACTCGCCACGTGTACCTAACGAGGATGGATATCATGCCACTCACAGGCTTCCGCTCTTTCCCAACTCTTACACGTTGCCTTCAATTCTATCCATCCGAACAAAAAATAGAATCAAAAGTGTGCATAAATGGATCCATGTCCGGCCCGGAAAGCAATCTTCAATTCATCGGATCATCCATATATTTACTCATAATTCAATTTCGGAATTTTCATTTGAGCCATGCAGTCAACGGGTGAAAGCTGCGAAGCTGCTGCTGATTCGAAGAGGCAGCTGCTGCTATTAGAAAAGAAGGTGGCGGATCTAATGCCGCACGACAAGCGAAGAAGACTAGTGGAGGTGCCCTACACCGCAACGCTAGCCGATACCATGAACACTCTTCTGGCCCACAGGGTGGCGGCGGTCCCGGTGGCTGCACCGCCGGGGCAGTGGATCGGTGCCGGCGGAACCATGATTCTCGAGCACGATAAGAGCACCGGCGCCGCCAGGAAGCATTACATAGGGATGGTGACGATGCTTGATGTGCTGGCGCATATTGCGGGTGGTGAAGAAGATCTTGACCTGAAAATGGCGGCTCAAGTCTCTTCCATCATTGGTCATTGCCTTGAAGGTCTCAGCTTGTGGACACTCAACCCTGCTATGAGGTAAAGTAATAATTCATACATTTGTAGTACATACGTGCATGGCTAAAGGGCGGCTGCAGGCTGATAGTTTTTCTATTGATCGGTTCTCTTATTGAATTCTCAGTCAAACTAGTATGAACCCTACCTAATTCTGAAAAAGTTATATACACATCAAATACACTTGTATTTATTAATTAATGAATCCAGGAAAGTTATACTAGTATGATAATCCTCTGGTCTAGGGATGTTTTTACTAATTTGCTGGTCTGGTCTGTTTTCTTTGTATTTTTATAACTATCCAAGTCTGGTCTGATCTGGGACGAATTACAATTCAAGTAAAAACATCCTAGTTCACACTTAATCACAATTAAGTTCTCTTTTTGAATATCTAAAAAGAAATATTATTTTTTGAATATAAAAGAGCGGCTTTTTATAATAATATAAAAAAATGATAAAAAAAATAATATAAAAAAATCATACAAAACATAGACAAATAATTATTACAGAGTTGATCGTAAGTCCTAGGAATAGATATAAAATCAGTCACTTCATTCAGTAGACACAAAATAGGCAAATTTAAGCCTAACTTAATTTTGCCTCTTGGCACGAAGGTGATTATGGAGGAGAACGAGTTCTACCATTTTTTACACTGCCCAAAAGAAGGCAACCAGAACTCCCTGACCACACGAAATCTTTTGAGATACCAAAATAACACCACACACGGAGAGAGACAAAACAACATGGAACGTCAATTCTCTGGAAAGAACCGCCATAGCACAGAACAAACACAATCAGAAAAATAGAACAGTCCAATTAGGTCATAGCCCTACCAATAATCTCCGAAAGCTAATGTCACCTAGATCAAGTAATTGAAGAGTTGGTTACCTGCTATTTGTCTTCCTGTCCGTACGTATGCTTCCTACGTATGCTTCCTGTCCTCTTTGCCGTCTCTGAATCATAAGAGAAGAGGCAAGTCGCAAGACACGCTGCCACAAGCCCTAGGGCTCTTCTAAAAAGAATACTTATAAAATCTATAATAAATTAATATTTAAATAATACTCCCTCGTTTCAATTTGTTTGACACACTTTGACTTCCACAGATTTAAGGATTTTTTTTACTGAAGGGTAAATTTTACTGTGTGACACTGTTTTGCACCGTTTTGTACTATATTGATATAGATTTGTTTGCCAAACAAGGAAATAAAAAAGTGTGACATTCATTTTATGAAACATCAAAAGAAAAGAAAAGTGTGTCAACGAATTTGAATTGGAGGGAGTATATGTTTTACAATGAAGTACATGAAATCAATTCCGTACGATAAGATAACTTCAAATATGGAGTAAATTAAAAGTGTGTAGTTTGACTAATTTAATTGTGGGGCCTGGTATAAAATTGTCCTGTTAGGTGATAACAGGGGAGGATCTATGTATAAACTATGGTGGGCTGAAGCCCAGGGCAGCTTAAAAAAAATTTCAACTTTTTTAGTGTAATTTTTTTAAATTTTCATATTTAGCCCACCCCGTTAATGTTTAAGCCCAATATAATTGCTGTTCAACCCAGGGCATCCCGAATTCCTGGATCCGCCCTGGTAGGTGAATGAATTCATAGTCTTTCGTTTACACGGGAAACATAAAAAAAATAGTCATGGAAAAAGTAGGGGTAGTGCAAGAAAATTGGCTTTAATAAGAGATAATTCCCTATTTAGGAGTAAAACATAATAAAAGTGCAAAAGTAGGAGTTTAATGTTCCGTGTGATTACATAGGAGTAAAATTAAGTGAGTTGACCAAACTACCCTTAATGAAAAGGCTAATGTCTTAGCTCAAAATCTCAAATACTCCGTATACCTAAATTAAAATATTAAAACAACAGCTGTACACAATTATGGTCTTATCTTGCACGTAAGACATCAGTCCAACAGATCACCGCAGACACCACCTACTACCTGCACTAGACGTTGCCACCGCCTCCGGCAGCCGCCGCCCCCGGCAGCCGCCTCCTCCGGCCACCGCCGACGTTGATGCCGTCGCCACCAACACCGATACCTCCGATGTCGCCGCCTCCACCGTCGGTCACTGTCATTGCTGCTGGCGTCGCTGTCGCCGCTGCTGGATCCTAGTCTGGTGCGGCCACCTTTGTTTCTTTTGGCTCCACCACTGCCAATATCAAATCTGGAAAAAGTGGTTAAAAGTGTGATATGGCCATTTGAGTGCCATATCGTCATCTTTATCTTATTGCCATAGTAACATTTTCATATTAAATGATGTATTTGTAAGGGACAATATTGCCATCATGATGGAATTAGTACCATAAAAATGACACTAAAGTATGAAAATTTGGCATTATTAATATTGTATTTTCCATCATGATGGCATTAAGTGTCGTAAATTTTTCACATGGAAATATATGACACTATTAATATTGTTTTTGGAAATAAGTGCTATTTTAAGCTTAATTCCATATACTTGCTTTAAAATTGTAACTTCATATTCAAATCAGAAAAGTAATGTGAAAAATTACAAAGACATTATATTGACGAAATCAATGTAAAATTTTATGATCTATTAAAAGGTAAAATATAAAGTTATAACAACAAAAATCCGAAGAAAAAGTTGAAAAGAAAAAAGAGAAAGAGATCAAGAAGAAATAGGATGAAAACAAATCTGGATAAAGAGAAGAACATAAGAAAAAATACAATGAAAACAAATCTGGAAAAAGAGAAGAACATTAAACAAAAACCAAGTAAAAAAATTATGTGAAATCAAGTTTCTGCTAAGGAGAGAGGCAAGACACATAGCAATATCTTCAATTTCAAAATCTCATAAACCATAAACATGGGATGCATACGGTTGGAGAACAAAATGAAGAGAAAACACTTGTTCAATATTTAGTGTGTATCTGGATTGGATTCAATTAGATCGAACTAGCCAATAAAAGTTTTTATTCCTTCATTAACTGAGAAAAAAGAAAGGAGAAGGAGGAAGTGAAGGAAGAGAAGGAGAAGAAAGAAGAAAGCTAACCTGTGCCGTCGCGGCGTCGCCCATCGGTGGCCGGAGATGAAAAAAATTGACAGATCCGGCGATGGAGAAATGAGATTCCTGACGAAGATGGAGAAACGAGACAACATGTCTGAAATCCATGTGCGCCAGAGTAGGGGGGCAGGGGAGAGGGAGAAGGAAGGGAGAAAGAGGGGAGAAGGAAGGGAGATCGAGAAGAATCTGACAGAAATATAGGGTAATTGTAAAGAGGTGTAGAATTGGAAAAAGGAACGGTCAATTAACAAATAACTCCTATTTGGGGAATAAATCAAGAGGATCTCCTATTTTGGAACTTTCTTATTATTTTAGTCCTAGTTAGGACAATTACTTCTTTAATAATACTTTGCCTGAACGTTTAGGGGGTGGCTAAATATGGAGAAAAGTTGGGTGGTAAAAAATGGTTTGGAAGATTTGAAATTTAGACTGTATTTACATGCATGCATGCACTAATTTTTGGGATATAGCAGCCTTGTGGACTGTATGGAAGTGTTTAGCAAAGGCATTCACCGCGCCATGGTTCCACTGGAGAGCTTGCAGCAAAGCGAGAGGTTGGCGGGCGTAGAGCTGGTGGAGTCGGCATCAAGCTACGGGATGGTCACCCAAATGGATGTTTTGAAGTTCCTGCGAGAATACAATGGGCAACACCCCGAAGGCGAGCTCAAACACATCATGTCATGCCGCATCAAAGTCGAGGATGCCGCGGCCGTTTTCGGGATTTCCGACGAGTCCACAGTCATGGATGCCATCAAATGCATGAAGGCGGCTTCACTCACCGCCCTGCCTATCCTTCACTCTTCCATTGCCATTCAAGAACATCACTCGCAACTCTTTAATGTAAGATCAATCAGCTCATCACTTCCAATAATTTTATGTTCCAATAGTAGTTATTTAGCTAGCTGTTCGTGACCCGTCCCGTTGCATAACCTAATTTAATCTAGTGGGACGACAAGCAGGGGAATATGCATACACGTTCAGGCCAGGTCTTCACATTTTATAGACCATGGATAGTGTACACATTTTTGCCCCTATATTATAAAACTTCAGTATAGTTAATTTATCTTTTAAGTCCTTGATTGATAAAATTCGTATAAAAATGTATTTAGATTAGCAATCATCATCAAAAAAAAATATTAGCTTATAGCCATCTATAAGAGTTTCAACAAAATACTCTTCTTTCAGTTTATAATACTAATACATGCATCGACCTGCACATCGTGTAGATATACTCATTTTGTCGAGACTAGAGTTATATTACGGAAAATATTTGTGTTTCTAACCATGTTTATGATTAATCTTATGAAAAGTAAAGATTTCTTCATATAATTCTCTTTTATCCTTCAGATCCTCTTTTTATCCCGAGAAAAATAACCTTTTAATTGTTGTTCTTTTTATCCCGAGAAAAATAACCTTTTAATTGTTGTTTTTAGCATGGAGAACAATTTGTTTGTTTTTCATTCTAAGTTTTCTTTATGTGTGTTCTAATATAAATTAAGTAGTACGAGTGATTTGTTTTTTAACTAACAATAAAACAACAACTAACACTTCAGCCTTGATTCTAAAATGATTATGGATCGGTTAACATAAATCAACATACAAAATCAGAGCAAAAAAGTGTCAAATAGGCCCTCAAACTTACATAAAAAGGTCAAATAAGCCCTTAGCTTATACAGGAGACTCCGTCCGGCTGTCGCCATTTGGGGCAGTTCCCGGTGGAATTTTTTGATGAATTTTTTTGAGCATCTTATTCATTAAGTCTAGTCTACTCATACCAAATTTCAGCTAACTGCAATAGATAATTCAATTGGGAAGGCATTCAAATGAATTCTTGAAAATAACTGCGCTTTTAACTCGTGGTTAAAAACATAAAAGAGAAAAGGGTCAAATAAGCCCACTATAAATATAAATAAAGGCATTTAAAAATTGGGGTACCGTACCTACCACGCATTTGATTGGTCCAAATCATTCTATTCCTTTTAATTTAGATTTAATTAATTCAACTGCATCATTCTTATTGGTCCATGTGGACAAAGGTATAGTACATTTGTTGGGCACTAGCGGAAATGTAGTGAAAACTATAGGATTAACACAACAAATATTTGATCACTCAATGCCTTATACTTTTGGCTATTGTTTACTCTCACACAGCACACACTCTTATTTTTCTTCTGTGTATGCCCTCTCTTGCTGCACTTGTTTTGCATCTTACACACACACACACACACACATATATTCACATACATTGGTACAAGGATATGATGGCTATCTACCAAATTTAATGCACCTTTGTCATTTTGTTTCTTTTCTTCTTCCTTACTGTTGAGCTTTGCATTATTTGATCAATAATGATAAACTCCTGTGCTTCTTTTGGAATGATTAGCCATGTTTTATTTTATTTTACAAATGCAAATTAGGACTTTCAACACTCCCTCTTAATTTGCAATTTGTAAGGATGTCTGCTGGCTGATCATTGGTGTTAATGAATTTCACTAACAAGATCTTGTAATAAATGATGACGCAAGAAGTGATGATGCAACTCGATGTGTTTCGATCTCGCATGAAACAGTGGATTTTTGGTCATGGCTATGGCTGACATGTTGTCACAGTGAATAACAGTTGGACCATTTTCACTTTGATGTAAATCATTAATTAATCTTCTTAACCATACCGCTTCGCATGCTGCATCTGTAGTTGCGATATATTCTCCTTCCGCGGAGGATGAAGCCACAGTCTTTTGCTTCTTTGAACTCTAGGAAATAGGTTTTGAACCTAGGAAGAATATATATCCTGATGTGCTCTTCTCTTCTGATCATCTAGTGATCCCGCCCAGTCACTATCAGTAAAACCAGTTAACTTGATTTCATCTTCTTTCTTGTACTTCAGACCCAATTTCTTCATGCCTTTGAAGATATCGTAAGATTCTTTTGGCTACTGCAAAATGAATTTCGCTAGGTTCATTTATAAATCTTGATAGAAGACTTACTGAATGACAAATATCTAGCCTGGTGTGAGTAAGGTAAATGAGTGACCCAATAAGACTTCTATACAGTTTTACGTCAAATTTTTCAGCTCCATCATTGTGCTGCAGCTTCTCGTTCAATGCCATTGGTGTTGCTACCGGTTTGCATGATGACATGTGAAATCTTTTCAACATATCGTCAACATACTTCTCCTGAGAAATGAAAATTTCTCCAGGTGCCTGCTTCACTTGGATCCCAAGAAAATATTTCATGAGCCCTAAGTCCGACATCTCAAACTCTTTCATCATCGTCCTTTTGAAATCTTGAATCATCAACAGACTTGTGCCTGTATAAATCAAATCATCAACATACAAACACACCATGAGAAAATCTTTGGTTTCTCCCCTTTTTATGTAGAGAGAAGCGAATGTAGAGAGATGCTTCGCTTGGACTTCTTTGAAATCCATTTTGCTGAAAATATCGATCGATTCTGCTGTTCCAGGCTCTTGGTGCTTGTTTGAGCCCGTAAAGCGCCTTTGGAAGACGATAGGATCTTAGTACACAAACACCTCTTCCTCGAGTTCTCCATTCAGGAATGCTGATTTAACATCTAGCTGGAATACTGGTAACTCCAGTTGAGCTGCTAGAGCGAGAACTTTCCAGGGAGAGGAATAGGAACTTAGTCTGATAATTTAATAGTAGCAAAAATTCCGATTACTTCCAACAGAATTTTCTCTCTTGCAATGTCAAAAAATGGAGAAGTAGCATTCTGATACCAAATTTGTTGGGCACTGGCGAAAATGTAGTGAAAACTATAGGATTAACACAACAAATAATTGATCACTCAATTGATAAATATGCACAGACAGAACAATGCCTTATACTTTTGGCTATTGTTTACTCTCTCACACAGCACACACTCTTATTTTTCTTCTGTGTATGCCCTCTCTTGCTACTCTTGTTTTGCATCTTATGTACACACACACACACACACACACACACACACACACACACACATATATATTCACATACATTGGTACAAGGATATGATGGCTATCTACCAAATTTAATGCACCTTTGTCATTTTGTTTCTTTTCTTCTTCCTTACTGTTGAGCTTTGCATTATTTGATCAATAATGATAAACTTCTGTGCTTCTTTTGGAATGATTAGCCATGTTTTATTTTATTTTAAAAATGCAAATTAGGACTTCCAACAACCTTAAGGGTACCATAGAATCTACCTCGTAAAAAAGCTTAAAAACTCATGGTTTGCGCCCTCGCCTACCCTCGCATAGGGTTTCTGACCCTTCAAGCGCGCGAATAGTTTTTTTGCTCATCCGGCTTATGGCTGTGTGTGAGGGTGAAGCAACGCCGGCTGACAACGATACTCATGGACGACTTGGAGAAGGAGTACTGATGAGTGGGATTGGAAGAGGAGAGAGGAGGGCCCGCATTCGGTGTAAGAAGGAATGAGGTGTGCGGAGAGGCCGGCGTTGACCAAATAGCTGTTCAATAGGAGGAAAAGGAATGACAGGACGTGGATATGAAAGGAGTATGACCAAATAATGTTTGAAAGAGAGGAAGATGGCATGCAGGCAATGGCGCTAGGGGAGAGGACTCACACTAGCTTTCCTGTGGTTGGCACCCAATTACAAGAAAATGGATGGTTTTAAACGATTAAAAATGAAATGGAGGCGAGTAGCGGGTGATGGATCAGGTCCGCCTAGATTTTTGAAGATTTTCTTGATTTTTAGCAATTTCAACCTCCTCATGGTTCTAGAGTTGTCCATGGATTCTAGTCTGTTTTTTTATTCAGAAATCATTCTATTTGTGTTTTCTCTAGTTTTGAGTAGTACTTTCACATTAGGATGGATGGTAAGAAGTCATTATCACTATCTTTTGGCTCATTGGTGTTCAATTTATTAGGATCAATGAGTTATATAGAATTGAAGTGAACTGCTCTTATTCTCATAAAATAGATTGGATCAATATGTAGGGTAGGCAGAGAGGAAGGTGATGTAGCGCCGCATGGTGGATCTAGGTTGTTGATGATTCTCTTTGTGTGAGGATTCTACAAGCTAAGGTTTAGTCATCCGACGTCCCTTAGAGTGCAATTAAGATCATCAAGTACTTATGTCCTTCATCGAAAACGCTAGACATGTACGGTATATGAGCCGGCTCTAGGGAAAATCCTAGGCGGCGTACTCCTAGACGATCTACTCCGTTGGCTTCTTCTCCTAGATTGACAAGAGTTTTGATGACTGCGACGTTCTACGGATAGTAATGAATCAATGGTTTTGCTATGTTGTCTTTCTTTTTTGATTTCTATATTGTAGGGTTGTGGTTTAATTTTGGTCTTGCATTTTCTTTGGTCGAGAGTTATGTCCGCTTTAGGTGAGCGTGTGTTTTGTTCTTCTCCTAGCAATGTTTGGAGGTTGTGTCTTACTCGTTGTAATCGATGCGTTCATTATTCAAAGATGGCAAGACAAGTCAACCTAGTTCTCTTAGAAGTTTCAACTATTCGCCCTCCTCTTGCACCATTGCCTGACTTGATGAAAAAGATATCGCTCAACTGGATCTTCTTTTTGGTAACTGTGAACAAGTATTGTATTTTATATACTTGATTATGAAGTGCTATACAAGAAGCTATATTTATAGCTATATTTAGAGTACTAGGGTTTCCTATACAAGATATACAAATGGGCTAAGCCCAATACTACTAGGCTTTTCACAGTAATTATCAAACTGATGATGCAGAAAATTTCTGCATAATTGAGTTTCCTTTGTTGGTTGTTGGTCAAACCAATTCTCCCTTTTCGATGGCTGTTAAACTAGACCACATTATGCAGGGTTAGTGATCTGGAAGAATTCATTGAATTTTTTCCATTCTATGTCTTATCCCATTGTTGCTTTTAGACTTTTTTTTTTGTGCTTTTAGACTATTCGTGTATCTTTGCTATCTTTTAATAAAAATTTAGTTATTTGTTTTTCAAAAAAAAAAACTCTCTTATTCTGGTTCAGGGCCGGTGTCGGCGAATGACTTCTCTTAATTAAAAACATAAGATAAAGAAAAATAAATATTTGAATGGTAAAAAAACTCCCTCCGTCCCGAAAAGATTTGTCAAATTTCCTTTTTTGGATGTCCCAAAAAGATTTGCCATTTTCATTTAAAGTAAGGAATATGTGTCTAAAGTTAATTCTCTCTCCTCTGCACAAATTTCAACCACACAGTTTTTACTTTATTAATCCACGTGAAAGTCAAAGTTGGCAGACCTTTTCGGGACGGAGGGAGTATAAAATAAAAAGAATTAAATGATAAAGAACATAAGACATATAAAGAAGATAAAAAGATAATAAAGGATAAAAAATGAAAAGAAATCAATCCTTAACTATGCTCTCGTCAAAGTCACGCTCTCATTCATTTCAAGAAGATGCGTATTACTTTTAACTCCTCTGATTTATGTTTGTTTGAGTCTTCCTCTCTATCAAACCGTCTCTTCTTTCACAAATCATCGCAATTTTAAGTCTCACATCGATCTTATATTTTAGTTGCTCCCACCTTTGTGTCATTATATCATTATTATTAAGCGGTCTTTTTAGTAAACCACCTTTGTGTCATTATATCATTATTATTAAGCGGTCTTTTTAGTAAACCAACATGTACATCTAAATCACACGTAGTATATATTCATTGAATCTGACATTGTTTGACCACACAAAATTCTATGTTTTACAGTAATGCATGTTTGTTGGAGGACAAAATTTACCTTCAGTCTTGTAGGTGTATCCTTATCGCATAGAAATCAAGACTGTTCTTTCATTTCATTCACCCTGTTCAAATTCTATGGAGTACAATTTCATATAGTCCATTATCCTTCCGAATTATAAAACCAAGTAACAAAACATATCACTGGAGGATATCCCGTTGCTATCTGTTATAGTCCCACTAATACAGCTGTTTCTACCTTTACTAAATTCGCACTCCATTTACTCACTTTGACTCGGCCTGAAAGCATTGTTCTCCAAAGTTCGTCATCATATTATTAAATTTATTTTGATAGTTGATTGCGTCTTATCACTCAATACAATTTCGTCGGTAAACATCACGCACAAAGTTTATCTTCTTGAATTGACTTCATGGCTTCATATGTTCATCCACGATTATAATAGTAACAGTCATCTTAGTGCTCTCTAATAGTAACAGAGAGTTTCATAGTCCTCTCTACATTAGTACAGACACTAATTTTGAGTGGAAATTCTGAGATGCCTTCCCTATTATATATCCCTTTTAAATCAATAAACACCAATTTCAGGTGAATAATTTCAGTTGTTGAGTGATCAAGCATAAATCGTCGCTCAATCACCCGCTCCAAGAATTCCATGGTCTGATTCATAAGTTTATATAAAAAAGAACTCGATTATATTATTGTATTATGTCCAAACATTAATTAAATCATTGATATTTTCTCTTGAGAATGTTAGAAATTAAACTTGGCTTAGCCCAATAATTGGATCCATTACAAGTTAACTTATTGGGCTAATAGTTGTATGAGAAATAATAAATTAGTTAGCCCATAAGTTAGAGTTAGTAAAGAAAGATCTAGAGTACTTATAAATAGAACATTGTAGAATGCTTATCCTATAGAATATACTTATTAAATATTCTTAGGACATATATAACATTGTAGAACATTCTTAAGCTAGAATCCTATAGAACATTGTAGAATGCTTAGGACATATATAAGAGTGCCTAGAAGGATCCTATGAGACCTATAAATAGAGCACTCCTCACTCATTTGTAACACAAGTCAAAAGCTCCAAATCAATAAAAGTTCCAAGTTCTCCCACAATCATCTCTCTCTAAAATCCTCTCTTTCATACACAATCACCCAAATATAATACTCATAAACTACTTTCTTCCAACAAAGTGGTATCAGAGCCATCAACCCTTTCAAGAAAAATGAATGCCAACGGCTTGCTAGGATCTCAAGATGCATGGGAGATTGTTGAGAAAGGTTATGAGGAACCTCAAGATGATGCTACTTTAAATCAATCCCAAAGGGATAGTCTCCAAAGGAGTAGGAGGAAGGATCAACAAGCTCTCACTCTCCTATATCAATGCTTAGACGAGGCCATGTTCGAGAAGGTTGCAAATGCCACCACTTCTAAAGAAGCATGTGATATTCTACATAATTCTTTCAAGGGAGTCGACAAGGTGAAGAGAATTCGCTTTCAAAATCTTAGAGGTGAGTTCGAACAACTTAAAATGAAATATTCGGAATCAATTTCCAATTATTTCTCTAGAGTGTTGGGAATAGTAAATGAGATGAAGAGAAGTGGGGAGGAACTAAAGGACATAACGGTGATTTAGAAAATCCTTCGCTCTCTCACCAAAGACTATGATTATATTGTGGTGGCCATAGAAGAGTCCAAAGATTTAGAGATCATGACCATTGATCAACTTATGGGCTCACTACAAGTCCATGAAGAAAGAGCGGTGAGAAATAAATCCGATGAAACATTGGAGCATTCACTTTACTCCAAACTCTCTTTTAAAGAAAGAGGGGAGAATAGAGGTGAAGAAAGAGGCCAACGAGGTCGTGGTTATGATCGAGGACGTGGTGCACGTGGAAGAGGTGGTCGAGGTCGTGGTTATACAAAATTCAACAATGAAGAAAGAATTCAATATACACAAGCATCTAGAGGTCGTGGGAGAAGAAGCAAACCACAAAGGTACGACAAGTATCAACTAAGATGTCATAATTGCAATCATTGTTCTAAAACTCGCTAGGCGCTAGTCGGGCGGTTGAGGGGCGCCTAGCGCCTAGGCGGCCGACTAGGCCGATTTTTTGGCCGACTAGACCGATTTTTTGGCCGATTAGGCCGATTCGGCCTCTACGGTTAGGGCCGACTAGGCCGCCTAGGCCGATTAATCGGTCCGCCTAGGCCGATTTTTAGAACAATGATTGCAATAAATATGGCCACTATGCATATGAATGCAAGAACTCTCATCATGTTAAAGAAGAGGCACATCTCATGAAGATGAATAACGAGGTAGAACTTACCTTGTTGATGGCAAATCATGAAGAACAAGCGAAGAAGAGCACATGGTGTAAGGAATAAATGTAATTAGATTTTGATGATGCTATAGGATTAGAAAGTTAGATTACCCCCAAATTAGATTTTACGTATTAGACTTTTCAATTGTAAGTATTAGTGTAGTCGACGATCAGAGTTGCTCTATTTTGGATCAGATCAGAAGTACATCAGAACTGCTCGACCAGACTTGCTCTATGAGAACTGCCCCATCAGAGTTCTATTACCAGAAGTCCATCAGAGTTGCACCATGAGAGTTGCTGATAAACTTGGACATCTGATAGCCGATGAGAACTACAGGTCAGAGGTACTCATCAGCGGACCTATCAGAGTCAGAGTTAGAGTTCAGTCAGAGATCAGAAGACCTTCAGAACTCAACTCATCAGATAGCCATCAGAACCCAACACATCAGAAGAGCCTGATCAGAGCCCGACTAACACTTAGAAGATTTCAAGCAACATCCAACGGCTAGAAAACTGTGCATGAAAGGAAAGCATTTAATGCACATTAAATGAGCCTGATACGCTGAAGGATTGATTGCAAATGATTGACCAAGGAATCCGGGAAGATATATTATAAAAATAGAAACCTTCCAAAACGGCGGTCAAGTCAACTGTACGCGCATTCAATGCAATTGTCTCCTCCTCCAACGGGCAGACAACCTCAGTATATAAGCTACACACCGAAGAACAGAAAAACAACTTTTGCTACAACTTTTGGTCATCATAATTCAAGCTCTCTTGAGACTCAAATCCTACAATCTTCAACAAGACAAGCTTACGTTGGGAAGATTCAAACTCCAAATCTTTCATCCCCAACAACGAGCAAAGTTCTTCCTGTTCTTCAACTCTTCAAGAACCTCATCAAACATCATTTGTGACGAAGCAAGTTGGAGGAAAAACTCTGTTTTTCAAAGGATCTTCTGAAAAGAAGGGCGTCCAAGTAACTGCAGTAGTGAAGTGGTGATACTTCCGGGAAGCTGAGTGAAAGGACCAGCCATCAGGACGTGGAACTGCATCCTGGGTGGCAACTAGGCTTGAAGAAGGCGTGGAGAACTTCTTAAGCGCTAGGAACTAAGCTTTGTAACCGATCTACTTCAAAGCTAGTGGAACAGTGGACTAGAGGAACGCGTTGTTCCTTGAACCACTATAAAAATATCCGGTGTCATTTACTTTACTGCAATTTACATTTCTACACTTAGGATATTAACTGTTAACTCTAAGACTTGGAATCTGTGTTCAGCAGATCTTGTTTTCAGAGTTATCAGAAAGGCATTTGCCTTAGTGTTTCTGAGGCTACCCGGACAGATCAGAATCCGCTGCCAAGGCCAGTTCTGATATCAGAACCAGCCTTTCTCTGTCACCAGAATTAGACCTTCTCTGATAAGTCACTTTGGACTTAGAGAAAAGTTGAAAAATCAATCAGTCTATTCACCCCCCCTCTAGACTGATTACCATATTAAACGGGACCAACAAGTGGTATCAGAGCCTCCTTGTTCTTGTAATCTTTTAGGTTACACCTTGAACAAAGATCCACTTGTTCTTAGCCTCTATTTATTTGTTATTATGGATAACTCTCTTGCAAAGCACCTCATGTTTTCAGATCAGAAGTATGATGACTGGAAGATCAGAATGAAAGCACACCTCTGCGCTCTTCATGACGAAATGTGGGAAGTCCTTGAAGAAGGACCTTTCACCAAATTTATGAAGGTAAATACTGAGCATACTATTGACAGGACTCAGCCTGAGATGATTGAGAAAACCAGATCAGAATGGACAAAGGAAGAGAGGAGACAGTACAATCTTGACAATATTGCCAAAGATATCCTCTACAAAGCCATTGACAACAGATACTTCAACAGAATCAAGAAGTGTCGAACTGCCAAAGAAATATGGGACAAACTTGATCTCATAGGAGCAGGTGATGAACAAGAGAGAGACAACAAACTGACAATAGCTATGAAGAAGTTTGATGACTTCAAACTTCTACCTGAGGAATGCATAGCTGAGATGCATCCCAGACTTCTGATTCTTACCAGTGAGATATCCGAGCTTGGGAAGGAGCTCACAGTTAAAGAAGTCAACCTGAAGATTCTCAGAGGACTGCCCCCAGTCTGGAAGATGAAGGTTATTGCTGTCCAAGAAAGCAAGGACATCAAAACCTATCCCACAGAGAAATTAATATCTGATCTCAAAGCTTATGAGTTTGAGATGCATGATGAGAAAGAAGAAGTGCCAGATGAGAGAACCACAACTGCTCTTACTGCCAGCACTTCTAAGGCTACAAACTTTGATCCCTCAACTCTTCTATCTGATGAATATATGGCTGCCTTTGCCAGAAAATTCAGAAAATTTATGAAGAAAGATGGAAAGAGTCCATCTTCCATCAGAAGACCACATCAGAAGACCAAATCTTCTGAAAGCAATGGAGAGTACCTCTGCTACAACTGCAGACAGCCTGGGCACTTCAAAGCAAACTGCCCCTACCCCAGAGTGTCCAAGAAGCAAGGACACGAAGAAGAAAAGAAGCCTGAAGATCAACACAGAAGAAGAAGAGCATTCGTCTCAGAGCAAGCTGAGAGAGATCCACTCTCTGAATCAGAGTCCAGTTCAGACTCTGACTCTGATGAAGCTTTCTGCTGCTTGGATGCAAAAACTGAAGACCTTTGCCTCATGGCACAATCTGATGATGAGGTATGTTCTACAGCTGACTCTATTTCTTCTTCGGTAGGCACAGCCTTAAATGATGATCCAATGTCATCATTTTGGGAAGAGTTCAAGACTATCCAAGGATCTTATTCCTTTATCAAAGAAGAGAACAGTAAGCTTAAAGCTGAAAATGAGTCTCTTCTAAAGAGAATAAGAGAAATTGAACATCTTGAAGTCAGATACAATAGCCTTCTGAAGATGCAATCTTCTATGAAGGGTATCAATGACTTTCACAACTCTACCCCTGGCCTTGGATATGTTGAACCAGAGTCTGGTGAGCCTTCTGTAAGGCCTAGCACCAAAGTTGCTAAGGCTAAAAAGGTCATAGTGTCACAGACTCTGAGCCCCAGTTGTCATGCTAGTACTTCTGGTACTAAAGTTGTTCATGAGAAAGTCCCACCAGAGAACCAAAGACTAAAGGCCAAACCAAAACAAGTTTTGAAAATTAATGAACCTGGCAGAAGATCTAATAACAGAAAAAGTTTTCAGAACAATAAAATTCAAAGGCCAAAACCTATCAGACAATCTCATGACAATGGTATCAGAAATCACTATCAGAGAGGCAAATATCAAGAGAAAATTAACTATAGACAAATGAGGTTGTCTGGTCAACCTCAGAAGCCTAAAGTTAAGCA